AACAGCTGTGGCAAACCTTTCTTCACAATCTTTTCTGCAACCGCCGGACTAGGTGTGAAACAAATTGGCTTTTAGTTGCCTACATTACTGGGATCACCGCCTTTCGGTATCGGTCTTACCACCGAGTATTTCCAATCCTTCGGCAATGTACCTTCGGACAGAGACCTGTTGAACAGGTCAATTACGGCAGACGTGATAATGGCTGATAAGGATTTGAAAGGCATGGCGTGGGGCCCGTCAGGCCCAACAAACTTGGTGCCGTCAAGACTGTTGAGTAGCTGACGCACCTCTTATACTTCACAATCCAGACTATGGAGTTCGGTAAGAGTGGTGCACGCCGAACTCGGTACAGACATGTGCTCTTTTGCAAACACAAGCAAATTACGCTGCCAATGCGGATGGACGTTCAGTGCTGGAGATTTGGGGCTCTCCGTTCTCTACCACTGATAGGTTGCTTGTCGGCCTCAGGCGCCGCTTCACTTACGCAAGACGTCCTTTGGGGTGCTTTTTGCTGCGGTTGCAAGCTGCTCTTCGAAATGCCTGCGCTTGTTGGTTTTCACACCGTTGCAGATAATACATAGCTTTTTATACGTTTCACAATCGTCGTCCGGGCCATAGATAAGGAATTTGTCCCATAGCCTGCGCCGCTACCGAGCCAAATTACCATATTCTTTGTCGAACCAATGTGGTTTGACCGGTCCGATTTTCCGACACTTGGGAGGCACAAATTGGTCACACAATGAATTTATTATTTTATTTATATAACTGATCAACAAGCTTCAGCAGATGCAGGTTGAGGCAGAAACCAATCCACTTGGCTCGCGGCTTGAGTCAGGCCGTCGAAATCCGTCTTCCAATAATTGTAATCTGGTTGCAGTCTGCGAGATTGCTGCAGTGGCAGCTCCATGTTAGTAATAAGAACTGAGTGGTCACTTGTTGCCAGAGACTCCAGAATCCGAATGTCATACACAGGTTGTTCACTGCCGGTTCACATCAAGTCTAAACACGATGGAGTTGAGCGCGGTGTTATGCACGTCAGCTGGCAGATGTGTTGGGCTGCCCCAGTTTCAAGTACCATCTCAACGCACTTTGCTTCGACCTCACAATAACCGGTGATAAGTTCAACTTCAAGCCAGCCTATTCGCAATTGAAATCGCCTATGAGTAGAAAATGACGGCAACTCATGTGGTCCCGGAAATGCGACAGCCATTCCAAACAACGGCTCAGGGGACTGCGACAGAACGCACACACGAGCAACCTGGGAGGGATCGATCAGCACAACTGTTCACCTAGGACATCTTCGCTTCGGTGGACATTCACGAGTCTCCCACACAGAGAAGACCGGATGTAGAGCAAGTTGCCACCATGGGCATTCGATAGCCTATCACAGCAGAAGTATGTGTAGCCACTAAGCTCAACTTCCTGGGTGAGGACCTCATCGTTCAACCACGTCACTGCGAGTCCCATCACATCTGGTTGCTCAAAAGCAATGAAACGGCACAGCTCATCGCGCTTGTCCATAAGACTGCAGAAGAGGAATCAGTCTAATCCCCATCGCCTCCAAATTGCTTGCCTCTGTCATCCTTCACAGACTGACTGGCACTCGTGAAAGCCAGATTCGTGAAGAGCAAGCTGGATTTCGTCGAGGTCGTGGCTGCATTGACCACATCTTCACCTTGCGTCAGTTTTTGGAGCACCGTCACATATATTGGCGGCCCACCGTTGTCGTGTTCCTCGATATCAAAGGTGCATTCGATTCGGTGGGTAGATATGCACTTTGGGACTGTCTCGTCAAGAAAGATGTACCTGAGAAACATGTGAATATTATCCGAGCATTATGTGCGCGTAGCTCGGACAGAATGAAGGCTTACGGCAAGTTGTCATCGCCCTTTAAAATCTTCAGCGGCGTGAGACAAGGATGCCCGCTGTCACCTTTCCTCTTCAACTTCGCTGTTGACGAAGTCATAGAAATCGCGTTCACAGGACACGACTTAGAAGGTGTGGAGCTACTCCCAGGAGAACGACTTCTTGATTTAGAGTATGCTGATGATATTGCCCTAATCTGTGACAGCTCACTAACGTGTCAAGCGGTACTGGACAGATTAGCACTGGCTGTCCGTCACTTCGGGCTTTGCTTCGCACCCTCGAAGTGCAAATTGTTCCTCCAATATTGGTGTGGACCGCCTCCTACACTGACCCTTGGTGGGAATCAGCTAGAAGTCGTTCAAAAATTCAATTACCTGGTAAGTTGTATCAGCGCCCGTGGGATTGAAGATGAGATCACGAACCGTATAGCAAAAGCTCGGGGCGCTTTTGCTAACCTTCGCCACTTGTGGCGCCGGCGCGACATCTTACTTGCCCTGAACGGTAGAGTGTACAATGCAGCAGTACGTTCGACTCTACTGTACGGTTGTGAAACCTGGCCGCTTAAAGCAGCGGATCTGAAGAGGCGTTACGTTCGACCACCGGTACCTTCGTAATTTAGCTCACATCTGGTGGGAACACCGCGTGAGCAACGAGCGTGTTCGACGCCTTGTTCGCGACACAGGAAAAGGAAATGACCCGCTCAGCACCGTTATTTCACGCACCACGCTCCGATGGCTCGGCCACGTGTTACGCATGCCAGCCCACCGACTCCCGCGACGTGCGCTGTTCGCGCGCCGGGGGTGTGGATGGAAGAAGAGGAGGGGTGGCCAAGCGATGACTTGGTCCAGAGGAATGAAGGCCCTCACTTCTGAGCTGGCCTCGGTTGGAGCGTCTCGGCTCCCTGGTTGGGGTCCGAAAGACGATGAACAAGTTTGGTCGGATACACTTGCTGATATGGCTAGGAGCCGACCTCAGTGGCGTTCGTGCTGTGAGTTTCTTTGTCCTACCTCATCCCTTTTAGCCTCCCCCTCCAACCACGATCTCATTATTTAGCCTTATGAAATTTTGCATAGTAATTTTTTGATGCACAGTAGCCGGTTGGTAGCTTACCCGAACGATGCCCATCCGTTACCGGTAGCTCAGCCGTCTTGCGCCAGTTGCATTTTCTTCTCCTTTTTTCTTTTATGCATTTCGGCACAGTAGCTGAGGTGTTCCCCAGCTCTAGCTAACGTGTGTGATGATGATGATGATAAGACTGCAGAAGTTAGTAAAGGCTACACACGGGCTGCGGTAAGAGCTATCGGGCAAGCCTGAAGTGTGAGCGACCGACTTATCCGAATTCGCGTTCATGTTGTAATCACCCGAAAATTTACACTACTTAGATTTGTTTCTCCCTCACCAGTTCGCCACTTTAGCTCGATGGTGGCACACTTGAGGCGCTCCAGGTCAACTGGATCGGTAACCGGACGAATATGCACCCTATCGCTTTTCAATCTATCCACCCGAAACAATATTGGCTTCGGGCTGTGCTCATCAGCAAAAGTTACTCGCATAGATCGGTCTTTCTCCGCAGGGTATTTTCCGAGGCAGATGACTTGCTTTGCTTTCACTCCGTCCTCATTCTCATCGAGGAGCCTATCAACCAGTCTCCGTAGAAACTACGTCATAATCATAGTGTGCCTGAGGACTTGGATTCTTGGACTCAGATGCGTGAAAAGTATCAGATTTAATCTCCCCTTGCCATTCAAAGTGGTACCTGCGAAAGGAGGGTGGACTCGAGTGTTACTAGATCTGGCCGGTTTTTGGTCAGTAAAAGGAAGTTTTTCTTCGTTTCACGCTTCTTCCGTCGTAGTTTTCCATGACCCGTGCATTGGACATTCATCTGGGTCATTAGAGCTCTCAGAGCGCACTCATTAGCCTCAGTTAGTGTCGTGTCTCCATAAACATTAGGATTGTAAGGTAATGAGTTATCAGAGGGCGTTGAATGGGAGGAAGCCTGGATTAAACCTTGGATGGACTCTAGATCAATTTGCAAGACGGTAAGCCTCGAACTGCTCATAGTTAAACGTTTTTGGTCGCGACCTGCATCGGTAGACACGATACTTTTCTCCGGCTACCATAGACTCAGACATTTGTTGCACAAAATTTGGATGAAATCATGGATGGAACGTAGAAGACGATAAGAATCGGCAGGTACTCCAACACATGACATAAGAAATCTGGCACAACAATCAAAGCATGTAAGGGCATTTGCCGTGTTTCCAACAATTTTCGAGCAGGAACCACAAGGTGGTTTCTTCGGTATTTTGAACCAATCATGTAATAGTACCGTAAAGTGAGAAAGCAGAAGTTGAAAAACGGAACTACGAAATCCGTGGGAAGATACTACACAAAATATGATCCAGAAATTGCAGACTCAGGAACCAACTTGAAGGATTCTAACTTTCCACGAGTTGATTCCAGTATGCCGGTGAATCCACACTGACGAGGCACCCACCGAGTAAGCAAACATTAGATCGCCGTCTTTATTTCAGCAGTACTGTTCTCCAGCACCTGTCGCCTACCGAGTTCTTCGTTGACCCGTGTCCAAATTGACCACATTGCCATCAGCTATAGACGTCGCACAGCAATTCAAGAATATCGATCAACTTGGAGCACGTGTCTGGAATCCGATCGTGCTCTAGAACGCACACACCTAGCACTCGACGCTTCCGGTAGTCATGTTTGTTTCCTGCAACTGTCGCAATTTCCAGGTTTGACCTTTGAGGGTTATTTAGCTTCGAATGTTATGCCCATAACATGACTGCCACTTAGCTGGTTGAATCAATTTCAGGTCCATTCTGATGTCCAGTTTGCTGCTGTTTACTTTTATTGTCTAGTCTCTAGCTTATTTGTGTGTCGTTCAGTTGTCTGGCTCGTAATCTACTGGCCACCGGTTTGAGCCTGCGTAGTTGTATCTTGTACGCGATCGCTGATTGTCATGTGGCAACGAAGTGTCGGTACGGGGCCTCAACACGCTGTTGGTACTTACCTTCGGTTTAGTGAACGCATTTCTTCCCGCTACCAAAGTTCATTTTTGCCTTTTATACTTGACTGTCTATTTTTGACCCTGTTTTCCTTTCTATTTCATTTCAGTCTGTTCGCCTAAACCATTTATACTAGTGTCAAGCTATTTTAACAATAGCTTCTAGTGATGAAAGATTCCACACTAGTGAGCCGATTTCGGTGTCTAGCTTCTCTGAAGTACGTTCTGCTGATTTCTTTGAGTGTCATATAACTGTTACAGGGAACAAACCGATCGCATGAAAGATGCATTGACGCGTTTATCCGAACAAAAAGAATTCACCGACCTAGAATCGCGAAGGATAGCGGAATATAAGAGGGAGATGCAGTGTTTGCTTGCTGATCGAGCGTTTCACCTACATCAGCTTCAGCTCATCGAATTTGATATTGCATTGGTAAGTGACACTGTTTTTCTCCTCCATTTGACAAATCTTGCCATTTAATCAACTTTTTCGCCTCATTCACCCACGGCCTTAGAGTCTTGTAAACATACATATACATATTAGTACTGAACACTGTGTTGCTCCATCCAAATTTAGTTGGGTACGCACGCAGAATAGTGTCATTAATTTCTGCGCATTTACAACCTATTAGAGCTGTGCGCCATACATTTTCTAAATCTGGAATCAACAAATTTGGTGTCTAACGATTTCTTGTATTTCTACAACGACGTTACCTCAGCTATTGCCTTCGACAAACTGCCACAATATTCTTCCAATCGGTGTTCAAGGCATGAAGGATGTGGTGTCCGCTTCAGATCTGGTACTACGAGTTTGTACCGTCACCCCCCTGTTTGGCGCGCGCATGTGGAGTCACAACCTTAGCATGGGGTAGTCACGCACATGTAATACCCGGTGGATTATTATTAAGAGCTCGAAACCGACGATAAAACAAGACGTATGTTATGGGCACCATGGTCTTCCCGTCCGCGTATATCCCCAGTCTCCTGGAGATGAGTATCCGGGTGGATGTAGGATCTCTCAGGAAAGGTCATTATTTTAACAGGAGAGCGACGCGAACCAATTTCCTGTAGTCAGTGTGTTAATTCATTTCAAGAACATTCACGTACATCACGTGGCATGTGGCCTACTTTGTTGGTCTCAATCGGTTTTACACAATTCTTTTTGACAACTGTCTCTGACGTTTATAGAAGCGAACATTCCTGGTTGGGGTATAAATATCCCTTGGTTTTCATACTTTTGCGCCCGTTTTCGAGAGCTGTTTCTCCAACACACGCTTCCCGTCTTGGCTGTGATTGGAACTTGCAGACATTAGCGTTTACGGAGAGCGAGATCAGTCCAACCGATTTCGCATATAAAGGAACAAGCAGCGACGGAGAAAGCTGGAAATCCCATGCATTTTCCGCATTACGATTCCAAATGCTGCTTCGGCAATACAGTCACATGGGGGCACAAATGAAGCTGATTTAACTGTTGACGCAGCTACTCTGTGCAGAGATAGCTTCGCTAGGCACGTAGATAAGTCTGTTAATCTCCTCTCCTCGAATTCAAATATGGCGCGGATTCCGGGTGCGCTTTCGATGCTTGGATGATATATTCAGAATGGATTTCAGCCGTCAAAATGACTCCTGGAAAGTGCAACTACTGTTCCGTGAAGTTGTCACTTATAAACATTCAGAGTTCATTTATCACACCGCCAAAACAACCAGAACCTTACATTCAACCAAGCGGTGTTACAATTCAGTAAAATTTTCGATGAGTCATCATCAATATTCAGCATTTACTATCAATGTCAGCAATTGTCAAGCGAAACGCGACCGACTATAGGGCGCTGGCAGACAGTCAACCGTGAGTGTGAACGCTTCAAGTTGAACATTTTGCCGTTTGACAAATTTAAGTGTCCCATGTTTAGTGTTCTTTTACAGTCCCCACAGTATGCCGATATACGCACCTGACTTCTCGAAGCTGGAACATGGCTCAGAGGCTAAAGTGCCTTATGACTGAATGCGAGCGGTGGTTGACTCCTGAATAGAACACTGCCATGACCGATGATTCATCCGTATAATCACGAAATGTCCACGCTATGACCAAGTCCTAGCGAAATACGCCTAACACCTCAATTCAGAAGTCCTAGAACACACCGCCTACTGCGCGTTGGCCATGCGATGAATGATATTTTTCCAGATTCTACTCATTCAAGAGCCTCACCTACAAGCAATGCTGATAGGTGGATGTGAAGAAGTTCCATCCAAGGAAAAACGTCACAAGTGTCATTCCAGACTCCCTGTCACTCGTAGCCGCCTTCCAGAGCAAGTTCAACCCCACATATGGTTCATCACCTAGTTATCAACAGGTTTTCGTCCAAGCTGCAGTGTGACACGTCTTCTGTTATAACCATCATTTCCAAGTACACATGGAACTACATCAAGTGATCAAAGATTGTCACTTCTAACAAAGTGACTGTCAACGCATCTGGTGGAGTACTGGATCTGGCCGAAGAAGCCACATACAAAACCACTTGATAAAGTTGAAAAAATTAGAACATGCTACCGACCACGGAGTCAGCTGGGTCAAAAGGCTGGGGCTATTTGACGCTCCACTGAACCAGAGTTGCATTTAGGTTCGAGAAACTCCGGACCCTTCATGTAAGTCAGTCGAAGACATAACACGGTCACCGAAACAAAAATTCGCCTGTTTCAGGATGATCTCGGTCTTTGCACGAAATTCAGAGCAACGCTGTGCGTCTGCCCGGAATCCAAATCAGTCTTCAAGGCGGATCAAGAACTTGATCTACTAGAGCGAGCCGGCGTCATCGCACCTGTGAATTATTCTTCATGGGCCGCACACATTGCTGCAATAAAACGGCAAGGCACACATCTGCACCGATTTCTTGACGGTCCTGAACTCTGCGCTTGACGGCCACCAGTATCTATTACCCTTGCTGCAAGACATCTTCGCAACATGGAATGATGGCAACTGCTTTGGTGAGCTCAACCTGTCTGGTACCAACTTCCAGATGAGTGTTGCCGAAGACTCGATTAGCTGCTGACGATTAACACTAATCGTGGGCTGTTACAGTACAATTAATTACTTTTCGGTGTTTAAATGGCACCAGCCATTTTCAAACCGTTGATGATTACCAGGTCCACGAGATTCGTGGAGACATTTTTCCCGCCGATCATAAAATACATCGGTTTTATCCTTGGGAAGGAAGGCCATAGGCAGAACTACCGAACAGAGAAGCCATAAAAGGAATGCCTTCACCAACAGACATGCAATGATTGCGTTTACTTCTGTTGTTTCATAAGTCTCTACAGGCCATTTTAATTTAGGATGCATCGACTGCATCCCCTTCTGAACAAGATACTGAGCAAAGGTCACGTCTGTAAATGGACGCAAGAGTGACAGATTGCCTTCAAACCAGTCATCATTATTGGTCTCAGACCTTTTGTTGTTTCACTTAGACCCAAGTTAGGAAATTATTCTGGCAACCGATGCATCAAGCTATGGGACTGGCGCAGTAATCACCCATATGTATCTTCATGGACCACAAAAAGTGATCGATCGCGCAACCACGGCGTAGTCAAAATGGAAAAATTACAACCAGATCGGGAAAGATGCATTAACCATAATCTTTGTAATAGAGAGGTCAGCGAAACCAATGTCCAGATACGAGATTGCGCGCGGGCTTACCGTGGAGCACGTGAGCTGTTTGCTGCATGTGAAAGTTCTCAGCACGGGTATGAAAAGACCTACGACTGTTCAGCCAAATATGGGAATCGGGCGCAAATTGATTGGCCAGCAAATACAAACTGAGTCAAAGGTGAACCATTGTGCCAAATATGGTAAACCCGTGGGATGGAATTCACTCACATTGGTTGATGACCAGACGCAGAAGAGTTGGTGACTCGGGCCTCCACAATTAATATGTCTCGTTCACTAATAAATGGAGTTGACCTATCCTGTAGAATATACCCTGTCTACCGAACCTTGGTCTTTTGTATTCCTACGGGTGGCTGGGCGCGTGGCTGAGCTGACTGACGGTCGCAGTCTCACAGGTGAAGCGATGCAGCAGCACGACAGTGGCGACGGCGAAACCAGAAGAATCCAAATATGTCAATCGGTTTTGAACCATTTCAGGCTCTGTTGCTACAACAGCAAGCATAGTTTGAGAAAGCACAGTCCGTGCTGATCGAAACACTAACTAAAAATTTGTCAATACAAGCAGGCTCTGTAGCAAAAGCAAGTGAAAGTGGCCCCCAGCAGAAACCTTAACTCAGCAAGTTTGTGAGTTCCGTTACGATGCCGATGCTGGTATTACCTTTGAATCGTGGTTCCATAAATACAAAGATTTGTTTCGCGTTGATTTAGCTGCTTTCTCAGAGGACAAAAAAGTTCGCCTCATGCTGCGAAAATTGGGCGCGGCCGAGCATGAAAAGTTCATGGATTTTATCTTACCGAAGAGCACTGATTTAACCTTCGATGAAGCGGATGCTACCTTGTCACAGATATTTGGAGAGCAGTCGTCACTGTTCAATATCCGATACAGGTGCCTGACAATGACGATGGAGACTGAGTTAGTTACGCGAGTTGCATGAATCGTGAGTGAACGATCGCTGTTTCAAGAGATGACAAGTGATTAGTACAAGTGTCTTATTTATGTGTGTAGTCTTCAAGCGACCAAAGATGCTGATGTCAGAACAACAGTACTGAGCCGAAATTGAACAAAATCCCGAGGTCACGCTACGGGAAGTGACGAACGAATGCCAAAGGTTGATGAACTTGAAGCATGATGCTGTTATGATCCATCTACCCAGAGTGGCCAGGATATCATTTGCAGGGTCAGTCGAACTTATCAGAAAAAATCGCCTCATGTGAGTTCAGCACATTCTAAAACCCCTCTGCTTGTTGGTTTTGCATGGAATAGGACTTTGTTCGAAACTGCCCGTTCCGGAATTACGTATACAATCGCTGTGGTAAACGAGGACACCGAGTCGTGTGGTTTTGCGAAGCGACCAGCAGTGAGCGGAAAACGGCGTCGAATCCTGGTGTGTTTCCGATGGCACGGCAAAACCAAAACTGTGACAGCGACTTTCAAGGTTGACGGTGTCAGTAGGCGTAAGTTTACAATGTTGAACATCAATAATAAAGAAGTTAAGCTGCAGCTGGATACTGCGTCAGACATCACTCTGATTTGTCGAGACATGTGGTGTATGCTGGGACGATCATCGCTTGTCCACACCGCACGAAATGCGTCCGGGATATCTTGAAATTACTCGGAGAGTTGCATTGTCAGGTTAGTTTCCGCGATCAGCACATTCGTACAACCTGTTTTGTGACAGATCAGCGAATTGAATTTGCTAGGTCTCGATTGGATGGAGGAATTGAACTTACTTGACCAGTTAGTTAAGTATATGCCAGAAATTACAAGTCGA